ATTCTAATTTATTATAAAAAATATTATTATTTTTTATTATATGGGAATAAATTTTAATAAACAGAATTATTGTTTTTTGGGGGTGCTTATTTTTGGAAATAAATAATTCATTTGTGTGTTTATTTTTGAAAATAAATTAACATGTGTTTAATCATATGATTTAATAATCGTTTAATAAATCATGATTTACAATCATCAAAGAAAATTTTCATCCGTAACAGAAAATGCTAAATTACTCAAAAATTACTATCTCAATCGCTTTTTTGTTATTAATAAAAGTTGTTTCTCTAGTCTTTCTACAAATAGTTACTTAGAACAGAAAAGAAGCTTTACAACTAGGGTTTTGAGTTATGGCGCTCCGAATTTGCTGCACCGTTCAAAATTATATAGGCGTTTTGAGAATTCTTGAGAAAAATATTAAGATACTACATAGAAAATATAATAAAAAATGATCAATGGAAATAAATAGGGATAATGTATATTAATATCTGTCAAATGTTACTGAAACCGATCAGTACTTTATCAAAAATTTTGATGTGGTAATGGTATTTATTAAAATTAAGTTTAATGTAACTTCTATTTCTAAATACCAATTAGTACTTTCAAAAAATACCTATGTAAAAAATAAATGCTCCTAAATAAAGATCTATTTCTCTCTTCTATACTAAGAGCTCATTAACCTGATTCATTATCTCTTCATTTATTGATCTATGTTTCCTATGTTGTTTAACTGCGTATTCCGTTACTTTTCCCGTTAACCCGTGCCGATAAGCATCCATTCACCTAAATGAAAGTCTTATAAAAGAACGAATTCTATTTAGAGAAATTGAGTCGAAAACTTGAGAGATCGTTTTTTTGATTTTTGACGACGAGTACTCGCAATGAGATCAGGTGTATTTTTTGGCCGCTCCCCAGTATATCTCAATGTAGTTAAATTCGGGATGAAACTTGAGATAGAATACAACCTAAGAACAAAACGTCAAGATCAAGCCAATCAAATAAAAACTAAAGCAACAAAATTACCTTATGTCCACGAGATTCAATTGTTTGTTGAATCAGACCCCACTGCGCAAGGAAATCGGGCTGGTTAGCCATTAAACGACGTGCACAACAATCGATGATATTAGGATCTGCTTCTTTTCTCTTGTATAAAGCACATTCTAACACCATCTCCTCTTTCCATAATCCTCTTTCACTGAGAACTTACTGGATTCTCTTAGGCTGACCATGTAAGTTAATGTTAAGCTTTGTTTTTTTATTGTAAATGGAGTAATCTTCTTCAATGATCATTGATTGACAGCGGTCATTCCATGTCGTATCTCGCATTCTCGGGACTGATTCTCCTGGACCAAGATTCATTTTCGAAGCCACAAGAGCATCTTCAGTGAAAGCCGTATGGGAAGTAGCATTATCAAAGGCAAATACACCGATATTCCCCAGATGCGACCGTTCAAAGATGTTTATTGCTCGTATAACTTGTTCAAGGAGTTTTCGGGAGTCCCAAAATCCATCTCGGTTTGCACCAAGTAACATTGTTACACGTGCCTCTTCTTGTTCGTTTTTAAGTAGTCCTATTGTCTCTGTTAAAAAATCACTTATATGCACACCAAGACCCATCCCTTTTTTACGTAATGGCTGTTTGTTTTCAGGACCCCACAAAGCACGTGGTCCTTCGTAAGCATAGAAGGTTGTTTCATCATGAGTTATCCATACGTGCTCTCTTTCATTATTATTCAAACATGGGAATGTTCTTATTGTACAGTCTTTGTCAAGCCATTTGGACATAAGCCGATCAAGTTCTGCAACCTTCAGAAGAAAAGTTTCACGATAAGCAACGACATCTGGCCGTTCGTGTCCATCTATGTAAGTATCTTTTTGAAAATGTTTATATCGAAAACCAAGTTTATGTATCCATCGACAAGCTGTTCGGATCGAAATATGTTGGACAGATTCAATATTCAATTGGAGAAGGATGTGCTGCTTAAAATATTTTTTTACCATTCTTGGACTCACTTCGAACTTCTGAGTGCGTAGATAGGCAGCTAATTGGAGAGAAACCAACTCGTCATTAAGCAGGCTCTTGGATGGAAACCTTCCCCGAGCAGTCGGTCGGATTAATTCCCCTTTCATGCAGATATTTGCCTACTTTCTGATACATCTCGCAAGCCAAGGACCACCATTAACTACCTCCGAAACCATATTTGCTGCCTCGACTTTCTTTTATTGATAAGCCGTAATCGGAGAAAATAGAGAACTGCTGTGTAACGAGCGATTTGAGTTTTAGTAAGTGTTTCGTCAAGCATTACTTCTTCAACGAATTTAATTGTCTTGTCAATAGTCTCTGATTTGGTACTGTTACCATTTCCGGAATCTTCGTTAACAGTAATGAAAAACTGCGTAATTTTTGAACTTTCCGCTGCCGCTTGCCTTAAATTTTTTCTTTTTCTTTGCAGTGTCCGTTTTGAATCACCAGTATAAACAACTGGGCGTCCTTTTTTTTCAAAACCTGTTTTTGTATCGATTATCGAATTTGCATCAATATTGCCCAGTTCATTTTCATCCTCTTGAAAATCGTCATCAGAAGTAATGCTTTCATATTCTTCGCTTGAGCCAAGGTCGACAAGATCGTCAGGGGAAAAAACGTCGGGGGAAAAAATGTCAAGAGAAAAAACAGCAACATCAGAGTAAGCATTTTTTAAATTTTGATATTTCTGCCGAGCTGAGTAAGCTACAATCGCTTTTTTTTGCTAGTGTCTTTTAAACTTTGGTACTCTTGGCATAATAAAAACCTACTGAGGCAATAAAATTGATCTTTCGATAATAAGATAATATTAGCCCCCTTAGTAAATAACCTCGAGTATACACATGTAAAATGTATATGCACTATCACTTATGCAGCTAAGCCTCTTAAATCAGGCAGTGTCGACCAATAAAATTTATGCATTGATGAAATCACGTGCAAAGTTGTTGTACCTCTCCAGCGCTAATTTTCTAACTTTATTATAAAAATTGAAAAATTTAAGAAACTTTGAACCTTTATAACTTTTTTATAAAACAATAAAATAAAAAACCCTCTTACAGAATGATAGCTTTACTAAAGAGCTATCATTCTGTAAAAGGGTTTTTTATTTTATTATTTAGTTCAAAAGTTATAAGACTTTAAAAAAGATAATTAAAAATGGATATCTTATGGTGTCCTGCACTATATATAATTTATTATAAAAAATATTATAAATTAATAAATTATATAATAAAATAAATATTTAAATTTATATAAATATTTTATTTTTTTTTATATTTTCTATGTAGTATCTTAATATTTTTCTCAA